CCACAGCTCCTCACACCTGCGCACCGTCTTTAATTCCAGAAAAAAAATGATAATAGTGGGGCGTGAGTACTAATCAACTGTACTCCGTAAAAACCCATACTAAGGTAAACAACAATAATAATATCAATATCATGATCTTTGGTATGTATTTAAGCTTAATCTTTCGGTATCTAACCGATACTTTAACTTGAACTTTGCAACTACCGGTAACTTGGGCCGGTTCTCACGTGATCACATTCTGGGGGTCGCCTCCCACAGAACACAGTCTTGACTGAGCGAGCTTAATACTTTACTTAACTTTATACATACCTCGAACATGATAATAGCTACTACACTCAATGTAATACCCAGTCTGGGTCCCCACCTTTCTTCTCGAAAATTGTTTGAAAATCTTAAGTGTTGTTCTAGTAGCTGACTCCTCAAGCTACATAAAAATATAAGCAAATAAATGCTAATTACTATTCTCTTAATATTTTCAATAAGTGCTTGACTTGGCTAACTTCTCTGGATTTAAAATAATCAGTTCTAAGTGGCTAACTCTTTCCAGAAAAATACTAAATAAACTTATAGAGCTTCAACTCGACATACATGTGGTCTTGATGTTATATATGACTGATTTCTCATCACAAAATTCTAAAATTTGACATGCATGCTCTCAACATATATAAATATGTCATAAAAATTTCATAATTTTATCATGCATATATCTCAACTTATGCCCTTTCAAAGTCACTGCTGGAACATGCACATAAAATTCAGCTTGCACGATAAACTTTAAAAATTTATAACTCGAGCTATACTTAACCAAAAGACATGATTCTTGCTCCTATGTACTCATTATTTACACAAAAAATAGCCATAATAATTTTAATATACCAGGTTATACATAGCATGCTTAATTCGAAATCACACAACACATAACAATCATGCATACGATCTAACATAACTTCTTACTTCATGGCATGATTATAAATACTTAAAAGCTAGAACTTTAGCATATTTTAACACATATGAAGGCACTTTAAATTATCTATAAAGCATTCTAAAAGAAGGACTTATTACCTTCTTCTTCTTGCTTGAAACTAAAATTTGAACTTGAAAATTAATTCTTCACCTCTCCAAAATTCCCACAACTTATTTATCTCTAATGAGTTATATAACTTTTGAAACTTTTCTTTGATGAAAATAATCTGATTTAAGGCCTCTATTTATAGCCACAGAAGAGGGGACACGATGATTGAGTGAAGAAATAAACAAAATAAACAAACAAAACTTGTAAAAATAAATAAAGATATTAAATGGTAATCTTAACTTATAAACTTAACCAATCTATAGTCAATGCTTAAAAAGGCCCCATAATGTGATCCCAATCTGATTGACATTGAAAAATTTCGTGGAATATGGAAAAATCTAGAATTTACGGAACCGAATTCGGACTTAAAACGTACAGTTACCGTAAAATCAAAAATTCTAATAATTTCAGATTTCCTTCTTTTGCTTTTGGTATTTTTTTCTTTTAATGCTAAAAAAAACTTTTCTTATTTTGTAGTCTACTAAAAATATAGAGAGGAAATAATTTAATTTATATTCTGGAAGTGAAATCGAACTTAAATTTCCGACTACAATCGAAAACCGGAAAAACTCGAAAATTTTAAAACCTTCATATTTCTCTCTTAATAATTTAAATAGACTAAACTGTCTAAATAAATTAATATACTCAAATGATTAAATTAAACACTCATGTCAAATTAATCATAAAACTTATTAAACAACTCGAAATAATTAATCCCTACTAATAAAATCTATTTCTAAAAGTAAACGAATCAGAATTAATTAATGAAATGGCTCGATTACTAAATAAAATTTAACCGAGAATACTTTCAACTTAAATTCAAACTTATAACTTATAACTTAATAACTGGACTCGCTACTAGAAACGAGCATTATTAATAAAAGTAAATATTTCAAATCTCAGAACTAAAATAATTACTTTTATTAATAACTGAGTGGGATATTACAGGCTGGCTGAAGCAAAAGATCTCGGCATAGCTCCCTTGTCTCGCTGCTATACACACGCTACCCGGGGCTGCTTGCTTAAGACTCCTGGCTGCTGCTCGGAATCGTCCGGAAGAAGGTATCGGCTGAAAACTCACAAACTGGGGCTATTCGCTTAAAAGGAAACATATTTGCCGCTGATTCGAGGTATCCGGCTGCTCAATAAAAGCCTAGAATGGCTGCCGCTACTCTCGCATGGGGCCCAAAAGGGCTGCCGCTATTCTAACACGGGACCCAAAAGGGCTGCCGCTGTTGTTCGGGCCCTAGAAGAAGGCCGACGGGATGCTGCTGTCATGCTCGAAGGTCGCCTGGCTGAGAACGGGGCTTGCTGCTAGCCACGCACGGCTGCTGTAACAAGAAAAATTGCACAGGGGCTGCTTCTTCGATGGCGATGACGGCTTCTCGATGACCACCGACGAATTCCCCTCTCTGGCGGGGCATGAAGCGGACGCCAGACAGAGTTGCTGCTCAATGTTGGTGCTTGCCGACGTGAATTGACGGATGGCAGCTGC